GTCCCTCCTTCTCAGTGGGTTGCAGCCCTGAGGAGCCCCAGGGCAGGGGGGTCTGAGCCAGCTGGCCCCTGGCCATGGGCACAGCCTGGCTGGTCTCCAGGTGACGCCCAAGGCTGCTCTGTGTAAGCAGGAAGTCTCCAGTTCCCACTGGGATAACTCCAAGATGAGGTTAGGGCTGGATAATGGGGCCAGCAGGCACCTTACATCCCCCAGAGATAGCACCCTGTGCAGAGGTCAGGGAGACCCTCCAAAACTCAATGGAGGGGCAACGGGCCAGCAACAGAGTCCGGAGGCTTGGGAAATGCCCAGGGCTTCACTGGCACCTCGCCTACCTGCTCTCTCTTCTCCAGGGGCAGGTTGGAGGGTCCCAGGGTCTGGATGGAGCCGATGATCTTCCTCAGCTGCGGGTCGCTGAAGTTGCTCCACGTGCTGCCGTAGAGCTCCTTGGCTTTCTTGCCCCACAGCTCTGTGAAGTCCTGCTCCTCCAGCGACGCCTCCACCTGCACCCCCAGAGGGACACGGGCACTCGGCACCAGCCCGGGGACGTGCCACCACCCGGGCGGCAGGCTGGGGGCTGGGTTCAGAGCCAGGTTTGAGGGAGCCGGAGGGGACAGGACGCAGGGTGGCAGGCAGGGCTGTCCCTGCTCTGTGACATTCATAGATGGAGACATCAGCTGCCAGCCGAGGCAGCGACATCTGCAGCCTCTGCTCGCCCGCGGCACTCCCGAGGAGCGCCCGCCAAGGTGGCTCTGAGGCTGGTTCCCAGGCAGCCCCAGGGGGCTGTGCCCGGGTGGGGTGGGGACGTGGGACACGGGGTGTCCAGGTGCTCCTGGGCCGCCTCTGGCAGCTGCTGGGCCCCAGTTTCCAAAGCATCTCTGAGGTCTGGCTTCATTTTATTCCTCTTCCTGATGTTTCTCACCTTTGCAGAAGTCCAGAGGAAGACTACAGAGATGCCAGGTTCACTTTTCTGCTCCCTATACCTAGACCTGTGGCTATCTGCAGCCCCTGCCCTAGAAATGCCAAATATGGCTTTCACCTTGCAGAGGGGCACCCATTTGCACCAAGACCATGGTTTTGGGGCTCTCCCTGTCACCCATCTTCTACTTTCCCAGGGCTGTGGGACAGCCGGGAGCTGCCTGCACCCTGAGGGGTTTATCTAGGCAGCTGGAGCTGCAGCAAGTGGCCACGGTTTTGGGACAGGGTGTATTGTGGGAGGTCACATCCGAGCCTGGCCAGTGTCAGCTCTGGTTTTGGGATCTTTCGAGATCTTTACTGATCTTTTGAGAGTGTCCCAGCCTGGGCAATGTGTGGGATGGAGTGAGAAGGTGCAGGGTGCCTGTTCGCTGTCCGTGTGCTGTCCTGGTGTGATTTATGGAGCTCATTAGCTCTTAGTCATGGCATTTTTAGCCTGGCTCCAACAAGCCTGGTTTGTTTTATTTTAATCTTCACATTCCCTCAGCTGGCAGCAGGGAGGAAAGGGAGTTACGGTGCAGCAAGGCTGGAGGCTGCCCAGGGCAGGCACCCACGCAGCCAGGGGACCCGGGGGTGGGGATGCTGAAAGGGCTGGGTGCCTCTGGCTGCCCACTGCCAGGCACCCACCCCCTTCCTTGGACATCCCAGCACCCACAGCATCACGCTGGGTACCAGCTGAGGCCCCATCAGCTGGGTACCTGATGCCCCAGCACGGAGGGACGTGCCAGCCCTACAGACACCCCCGTGCCAGAGCAAGATGCTCTTGCATCACCCCACTGAACAGGGGATGTCGTTACCCCCATCCAGCCCCTCTGGGAGCTGTAGGAAGCAGAGTCCAGCTGGGTTTCATCTTCTCCTGGAACAGGCGCCTGTGTTTGGTCAGGCAAATCGGCCCCTAAGCTCTCCTGACAGCTCTGGCAGAGCGAGCTGAGGCCGGTGGCACTGCCTGAGACCCCCTCACCATGGCCGTGCCCACCAGCCCTGGCCCTGAAGCTCTGCCCTCGGTGGGAGGGTCCCTCTGGGGAGCTCGGGGGCCCCTGGATCCCCGCAGCCTCCAAATCTCCCCACCAAAGCTCC